ATATATATATATATATATATATATATATCAATGTATATATAATTTAATTTGTATTTATTACTTGAAAAATAGGAACTCCAAGCTTATACAATCAGGATTTCAGAAAAGTAGCAAATACTACAAAATGGGATTAGGATACTAGGAAAGGAGGGTGTTTAAACAGTAAAGCAATGGGAAAATGCCAAAGAATCTTCTTCTTCCTAGCGTTATTCCAGTGGTGGGATTCAAATATTTACTACCAGTTCTATGGGTGTGGCTTGGTGGGTGTGGCAGGGGAAAGACACTGTAAAATCTCCATTCCCACAACACTCCAGGGGAAGGTTACTGCAAAAATCCCCATTTCCTCCCGATCAGCTGGGACTCGGGAGGCAGAGAATAGATGGGGGGCAGGGGCCAGTCAGAGGTGATATTTACTGGTTCTCTGAACTACCCAAAATTTCCACTTCTGGTTCTCCACGAATGATAAGAACCTGCTGAATACCCATGCGCTATTCCTCCAAATAACGCTATAGCAAGGTCCATTTGGGAAAAGGCCAAAGAATAATCCCGCGAAAGAAATTTTTACTTCTAGAACATAAATCTGTAAGTATTTTATCAATTATTAATACTAGCTGCATGAAGAAAGCAATGGAAAAGCAATGAAACTGATTGACCTTACCTGTTCTCGGTCCAATCTCTTTTTAACTTTAATCAGTCCCAAGCCGGGATCAATTGAAAATTCATTGTTTTGATCTCCGCTGATAATGGAGAAAGAAATCAGTCCGTTGGGAGGACTGTCCACATCTTCAGCTATCAACTTTGGAAAAACGAGGAATTATAAATAGAAGGGAGAATGATGACAATGAATTGATAAATTCCACTGTATATAAGATCATCACAAAGGTATTTACTTAAATACTATTATACGATATACTTAATATACATCAAATTGGCATTTATGGTCTATCACAGTGTTGGTGAAACCTTTTGGCACCGAGTGCCGAAACGGGAGCGTGCACATGTGGGGGAGTGCCAGAAACCAGAAGAGTAGCTCCCTGATGTGCATATGCGGAAGCTCCAGAAACCGGAAGAGCTGAGCTTCCGGTTTCTAGAGTGCACATGCGCTGTTCAAATGGTCTTCCGGTTTCTGGTGTGCATGCGAGCATGAAGATCAGCTGGCTGGTACACATGCACGCCAAGGAGCTGCTCTTTCCATTTCCAGTGCTCTCTCACACACAAAGACCTTTCCTAGACTTACAGCATTTTCAAAGTTATCAATGTCTGATATTACTAAGAAAGTGTGTCTTGCATTCACTTACAATTAGCCATTTACCCTGGTGATACGGGCAGAAAAACTCAGAACTCACCATTACTAATGAGTCTCCCACTGCTGCGTCTTCACTGATGACTGCACTGTAGACATCTTGGCTAAATCGTGGTGGGTTATCATTAATGTCTGTCACATTTATATTCACTGTTGTCACAGCACTCAGAGCTGGGCTACCCCCATCTTTAGCTTCAATGACCAGGAAGTAGTCCTTACACATTTCATAGTCCAAAGCTTCAATTACAGATATGGACCCTTGGAGACAGAAGACAAGAATAGGAACATCATATGCATTCCTTAAAGTCATAAACTTTTCTTTGAAAGCAAATATAAGCAACCTCAGTGACTGTAGAAAAACATGTTAAAATATTCATGACAGGGAGAGACATGGGGACAAAGTCAGCCAATGAATAGACATAGCAACTAATTCAGCCAATGGGAGCTTAAACAGATCTGAGTCTGTGCAGAGAATTGAAACAGAAACTTACAAAGAAAGCAGCCTGCTGCTCTGAGAAGTAAACTAGCCATCTCTCTGGGCTTGTCCGCTGAAATGAACTAACTGCTTGAGTTTGCCTGTAACTCTCCTGCCTTGTGTTTACTTGGAAGAACCACCTGTTGGTATTGTACATTTATTCATCTACTCTTATGTATATGAAGAAGTTAGTGAATCCAGCTGAATCAGTTAATCTGTGTGTGCTTCTGGATTTGAATTTATGCAACAAAATCAGACAAAACACAAAGCAAGCAATGACAATCCGGATTACATAGTAAAGCCACTTCTGATATACTTTTCCTGTTGCAAGGAGCAAAGCAGGCCAGAATGAAAGAAAAGATTTGTATCAATGAGAAAGTCACCGCATTCCTTTTATTAAAGCAGAGAAATGTTAGAATTGGAAATTCAATTGTCACAGAAGCATAATTCCTTAGGTGTTGTCGACATCCGATCCATACCTTTTCAATGTAAGACTAAACAAATAATTATGAGATTCTATAGTGCTGAGATTGGTTGTTTTCTTGCAGATGTTTCATTACCAAACTAGGTTAACGTCATCAGTGTTCTTAGGATGTGGGGTTGACTCTCACTAGTGGTTTTGTCCTATCCCTGTTGGTCAGAGTGCTCTTGATGGTTCCTTGATTAGGCTGTTGTTTACTCTTAGATTGGTTGTCTGAATTGGTTGTTCTTTAATTGGGATATTGTTTGCTTCTTGATTGTTGATCGTTGGTCTTGGTGTTAAGCTCTATTCATCTGGGTGCCGATTGCCTTGATTTCAGAATGTTGGGCAAAAGTTCTTATTTCTCTCTAATCATTTGTCCTTTTTGATAGTCTTTTTGAATGCTATGTAGATGTTGTTTATCTCTATGTGCCTGTTGACGGCTGATTTATCTGACTACCAGGCTTCCAGAAACTCTCTAGCATTTTCTTGACTTGGCTTGGTCTACGATGCTCACGGTTTCCCAGTTGAAATTATGGATAAGTCTGTCCATATGTTGTGAACATTCTCTCACCTGGCATATTTTTTTAAAACATTACTTTAATTGAAAATTAAAAACTGGAAGCTGACATACCGCAAAGTACAAGTCTCTAGCTTCAACTTCACTTCCAAGATGTATACTTGGAAAATAAAAAATGGCTGGTATCCAAAACTCTAATATGTTTTTAGGAGAGGGCACTTAAAAAAAAATAAGGCTAGGATGAGCTGAGCTGGCAGAGAGTATCTTTGGGGAGCTAAGCGGTTTAGAATATGAATAATCTCAGTGAAGCAGTGTATTTCTGGTAAGTGGTTCATTTGTGAACCGGCCACTCCCTTTTGAAGCAGACATTTGGTGAAAGCATCACTTTTCAAATATGTTCCCAAAAGTGATTGCTTAATTTGAAAAAAATAAAAAGGCACCCGAAGACCATCTAGTCCCGGGATGGGGAATCTATGGCACGTGTGCCAGAGTTGGCACACAGAGCCCTTTCTGTGGGCATGTACACCATCACCAGCTGCTCTTCTGGTTTGTGGCACACACCTATGCGCTGGCCAGCTGGTCTTTGTGGGCAGAACGCCGGAAAACAGCCTAAAAATGGGCTGAAAAATGGCTGAAATCAGCCAAAAAATTGCCGTTTTAGGGCCTTTTTCAGACTGGTTTTGAGAGTGCCCGAAAATGGCATGAAAAACAGTCTGTTTTTCAGCCAGCTGCTCTTCCCGTTTCCGACATGCACATGCACACCAGTCAGCTGGTCTTCAGGTTTCCGGCATGCATGTATGCACACATGCACATGCGTTCTAGTTTGGGCACTTAGTGCTGAAAAGGTTCACCATCCCCGATCAAGTCCCAGCCACCCATTGTCTCCTATCTTCATATCAACCGCTGAAGGTTGGCCTTGATTTCAGAACTGTTGACCAACATTCTTATTTTCTCTCCAATCATTTACCCTGGGAAACTTAGGTGCAATTCTTTTCAACTTCAGGGAGGGAAAAATATTGTACATTTGTCAGCATGGACAAACATCGGCCTAAAACATCCATCACTGCTAGGCTGGGGATAAGATTTTTCTTTTAAAAAAAACATAACAATAATAAATTCATCAGATATTCAAAATAATTACAGGATTGCTTTGAGTTTTCAGTGCCTACTGCTGATTTGTTGATAGGGAAGCTGTCATTCATTAGCACATAATAAATACCTCATTGGTAATTAAATGTCACCATTTTTAATTGATTTACCTTCTTGTCTTCCTTTGAAATAGCTTTAACTATTGTTTTTGTTCCACTAGCAAGGCTACGTGATATGCTAACACCACTCCAGCACTCTCAAATATTAAAACTTAAAAGTGCCCTTGAGTGGTATCTCTAAATCTCTACTGACTAAAAAAGAAAATGAGATTTCAGGAACTGGTAGAAAAGAAAGAGAATAGGAAAACAAAGCAAAGCGAACAAACACAAAAACAGAAGCTTGAATGAAGATTAACTCAATGAACCCATTTCTCCTTTTCATTGGAAAAATGTAGAAGCTTTTTGTTGTTGTTGTTCACTTGACTTGATTTCAGTGTGAAAATGGCAGAATCTGAGGGCAGAGTGAAAGGAGGGATCAGCCTAGAATCCTTTTGTAGTCACAAGCAGACAAATTCTTTTGACCCTTATCTAACTCCAAGCAGATGCTGTTAGCTGAGAAGATTCCTCTACATAGGCTTTTTAGCAATAAGGTAAAGGTAAAGGTTCCCCTCGCACATATGTGCTAGTTGTCCCCAACTCTAGAGGGCAGTGTTCATCTCCGTTTCAAAGCCAAAGAGCCAGCGCTGTCCCAAGACATCTCTGTGGTCATGTGGCTGGCATGACTTAATGCTGAAGGCGTATGGAATGCTGCTATCTTCCCAACAAAGGTGGTTCCTATTTTTTCTACTTGCATTTTACATGCTTTCCAAACTGCTAGGTTGGCAGAAGCTGGGACAAATAACGGGAGCTCATTCCATTACGCGGCGCTAGGGATTCGAACCGCTGAACTGCCGACCTTCTGATTGACAAGCTCAGCCTCTTAGCCACTGAGACATTCCTTTTTGGCCATAGATCTGTTTAATTGGACATTCATGTATGGACTTGGTCTTCCATGTCTGGCAGAAATGGTTATTTAATTACAAATATTTCTGGGAGGAGTTCGTAAACTAGATCCACTTTAGTGTTGCTTTGGTCTTGAATACTGCAGAGAAACAGCCTTGGCAGTACCACATGGCCAGCTGATTAGCAAGCTAGCTGGGTGTGGGATAAATGATAGGAGAATTAAATGAGTACATAGTTGGCTCAAAAATTGCACTCAAAGAGTACGCATCAATAGTTGCTCATCATAACTAAAGAGTAATGTCATGTGGAGTGGTACCAGGATCCTTGTGCCTGGGGGCTCTCATCTTCAATACTTTTTCTAATGATTTGGAGGAAGAGCTGCAGGGATTGCTTATCAAATTTTCAGATGACACACAATTGGGGGAGATAGCTAAAAGCCCCGAAATAGTAATACAAGGCTAGCGAAATGGTCTGAAAAGAATGGACTGAAGTTTAACAGAGATAGATATCAAGTGTTCTGACCTAGGCTTCCCCAAAAAGTACAAAGCTGATTCCTGGTCCCGACAAAACCCCTTTTATTAAATGAATATGAATTCATCTCATTCACATTCAGCAAAGGCAGTAAACAGTCTTTCAAAGGTGAAGTTATGACCACAGACCTTATCTATCTTGGAAAGCTGCCATGTAAATATTTTTCAAACGCAGTACTACTGTGCAAGGAAAGACTTGACACAGAGTCTCTGAGATTCATGGACAGATCTTCACACTCCTGAAACCAATGAACGAATGAATTGTTTCCTGCAAAAGCCCACTCCCCTTCCGCTCCTCTTTTATTTCCTATTTCCGATTCACTGTCCATCTGTGGCTTTACTCCCAAGTCGACCCTGATTTCTCAGCTGTTCTTTTTTTCTGGCAGTTCCGCACTTGCGCACACTGGGAACAGACTCCAGCTGTTCCTCTGCTTCACTGATATCTGACTCCGAAGGCAGCTGAGAACTGCCAGACAGCTTTGGCCCTCTCTCTTCTGCTGACGCAGAGCCCGCGTCTGAGCCTTCCTCAGCCTCTAGGAACTGGCCCATGCTCCTCCCCAATCTCCCCACTGTCCAACTCTGCTGCCAGCTCCACTGGCGGGCCACAAAACCAAGTGCTTCACGTGTAACAGAAATCCGATGCGTGAGAGTGTACTGGCTTGGAAATGTTTGTTTTATAGCAAAATCCAATGTGTGCTTATTCAGAACTAAATCTACAGAAGTTCAACGATGCTTAAGTTAGTGAAAATGAGGCCTGCAGCCGTTAAGTTCTATATTATTGAATTTTGCCAGGCACAATGGAGGTTAGAGGTCCTTAGTGCTCTCTGAGCTTGCTTGTTTTCTTGCAAACGTTTCATTAGCCTAACTATGGAACTAGTGCTAGTGCTAGTGCCGATGATGTTTCCTAGTTAGGGTAATGAAATGTTTGCAAGAAAACAAGCAAGTTCAGAGAGCACCAAGGACCCTTCATTTCAGTGGTGGGTTTCAATTTATTTAACTACCGGTTCGCTCATGCGCGCTCGCATGCACAGAAGCGACCGGGCCGATCGGCGGAGCCTCCCGCCATCTACTGGTTCACCAGATCCCGGGTGAACCGGTAGAAACCCACCTCTGCTTTATTTCAACCCTGAGCTACAAATATTCTCCTTTATTGACAACTAGCCAATAATCCAGCGTTGCCTGGGTATTTATTTATAGGGAGAAAATGTCTGAACCAAATGTAATTTCTAATGTTGCACTTTCCCCCTTACCAAAGGAAGCCTCCTTGTGGAGTACCGTGAAGCTATTACCATGGCAACTCCATTGCGCTGTATAGTAGAAGCCATTTTACGGCAGTACAGTAGAAGCCATTTTAAGGCACAACAGGCTGTATCTTAACATAACACTCCCACCCCCTTCTAGAGTTCTAGGGGTGTCTTACCCCCACAGTATTTGTTTCCAGAGAGTAAGTCATCTGTGTACCAAGTTAGGTTGAAATTGCTTGAGGTGTTGCAGAGTTATGCTGGAACATACACATACAAACGCACACACGTTTATATTTATATATGGGTTGAAGCATAAATTAGTGACAAAGGAACCCAAGTTAAATATAGGCAGTGATGTGTACAGTGCAAAAAGCCCTTCACTCCTGTTATTCCTTACCCAACTATAAAACGAAAGGGTTATTTTTAAACCTTATTTGGGTAAACTTGCCTGTTTTAGAATCGATCTGGAATTTTCCTTTTTCGTTACCCGATCTGATGAGGTAGGTGATCTCTGCGTTTGTACCAATGTCTTTGCTGGTGGCAAACACAAAAAGTATCTCGGCATTCGGGGAGGTGTCCTCGGGCACCTCAACCAGGTAGTCTCTCCTCTCAAAGACAGGAGGGTTGTCATTAATGTCCAGGACGGTGATTGTAACGGTGGCAAAGGAGGACAGCGTCTGCACGATGCCCTGATCGGAAGCTTTAATGGTGACATTATAGGAAGACTGAAGTTCCCGGTCCAGAGGATGTTCCAGAATGATGATGCCTGAGGACATGTCCACCGAGAAGAAACCTTCTGGAGAATCGGCCAGGGAATACACAATCTTTCGGTTTACCCCTGCAAAAGAGAAGAGGGAGAGGCTGGAGCATTGTTTGGATAGAAAAGTACACTCGGTAAGCGAAGGCCTCTTACATGGGTGAGACCAGGAAGTTTAATTTCTTCTTATTTTGGGGAAGGGAGAGGAGCTCCGTTTTTCCCTCTTAAAAAACAAAAGGCAACCATTATCACTACTCTATTTTAAACCTCCTAGCACTGGTGTCAAACTTGCCACATCACATTGCCGTCACGTGACGTTTTCCCCATTCCTGGAGCTGGGGTGGGTGTGGCCTGCAGGTGTGGCCTGTGGCCCATGGGTTGCCAGTTTGACGCCCCTGTTCTACAGAATAATGGAGAGCACAAGGCCTTAGAGAGCACAAATCTGTGGGACAGATTCGGCTCGGGGGTGCTTAGATCTAACCTGCGGGGATGCCCTGGAAACAGTGGACTGGCCCGCAGTGCCTCTACCAGCGAAAACGGAGCTTCGGAGGGCGTTACGTGGTCCCTCTGAGCTCTGTTTTCACTGGTGGAGAGTTGCAGGTGGCCGTCGCAGCCAAAAATGATGCTTGGGAGAATGTTTTCTCTGGCAAAGCGCTCGGGCATGTCACAGGCATATCTGACATGAATGACCCTGGCCACGCCCACTACCCCCCCCCCCGAGGTCAAACATAACCCTGATGCAGCTCTCAATGAAATTTGACACCCTTGGGTTAGATGCTGAGCTTGTCAGCTGCAAAGCTGACTGACCGGGTTAGAGACCCAAGCGCTGCGTGACAGATGAGCCCGCGTTATTTGCTCCAGCTCCTGCCCATCTAGCAGTTCGAAAGCATTCAAATGCAAGTAGATAACTAGGTACCACTTCGGTGGGAAGATAACAGCATTCTGGGTGCCTTGACATATAGTCACACTAATCACATAACCCCAGAAGCATGTTCGGACGATACTGGGTCCCTCGGCCAAGAAATGGACATGAGCACCGCTCCTAGAATCGGAGACAACTGGATAGGGGAAACCTTACCTTTACCGAATGATACCAAACCACTAATTTTTAACAATGGTAACTACATAATATTTAAAAGGTGATGGATTCAGAAGTCATGTGTGAACTGCTGGGTTAATCATCCCCCCAGGGAAATATCTACTGACTAAGAGAGCCAACTTTCTGAACTAACTTCAGAATGACAGTGATCTGAAATGCTAAAAGTGAAATCAGGACAATTTTTTTTACGATGCAGCAAGGGATTGCTTTCAGCCTAATTGAACACAAATGCAAAAACTAAGTTCTGCACATTTACCATGTTGTTGTTGCCTTAACTGTACAACTTAGCGGTGGCAAAGGGAAACAAACAAAGAACACAACAGTCTTTTAAAGTCAGCATTCCCTTTCCTTTGAAGCCAACAGAAGTAGGAAGACATTTGTTTTCGAGCCAGAACTATTTGCCTGACATCAATCACTTACGAACACAAACTCCACATCCTGCTTCTAGTTATACTTCATTAATTCAAAATGGGGTGACATTACTTTAGTAGGACTTGAAAGATAAAGCTTCCTTCAAGCGTCTGATGATTTCAGGGCTGTCCATATATTTTAGAAGCAGTACAAAAAAACGATTCCCTCATGCTTTCTTCTGGGAATTACTTTTTAACTTTCCATTTCACCTTGGAATTTCCGGAGAGCCTTTCTCTCACATGCTAATCGAGAAGGGCTACCCACAAAAAAACAAGCAAAAATGTAGACAGCCGTTAGATGGCAACAAAGAGAATCACAATTCTCTTTATAGATTCGCTGCCATCTAAGGTTATGGTTTTCCAGGCTGAGCACCAAAAATGGAGGCCTTTGAACTATGGTGCTGGAGAAGACACCTGCGAGTCCCTTGGAGTGCAAGGCGATCAAACCGGTCAGTCCTACAGGAGATCAATCCTGACTGCTCTTTAGAAGGCCAGATCCTGAAGAGGAAACTCAAATGCTTTGGCCACCTAATGAGAAGGAAGGACTCACTGGACAAGAGCCTAATGCTGGGAATGATTGAGGGCAAAAGAAGAAGAAGGGGACGGCAGAGAATGAGGTGGCTGGAAAGAGGGGTGAGGGCAACTCTAAGCCAGGGTGGTAAAAGATGTCCCANTTTGCCGGTTCTCTGAACTAATCAAAATTTCTGCTACCGGTTCTCTAGAACATGTCAGAACCTGCTGAATTACATCCTTGGGGCAGCCCTCTCCCACCTCACTTCGTGGTCGCAGCACCGCAAACAACCAGACGGAATAGGCAGGCGGCCAACTGCGCAGGCGCTTAAGTAGGGCTTATTTGGGAGGGGGGTAGGGCTTATCTTAGGCATATGCATAAGAACATGCTAGGTCTTATGTTCAGGATAGGTCTTATTTTCAGGGAAACAGTACTATGGACTACTACTATGCTATCTATTACGATGAGTTTACGGTTTGGATTCGTCTTCCCAAACCTTTCACGTTTCAGGCCCTTCTATTTACTTCAATTTCCCAGTTATCCAGGCCTCAAATGTCAGGAAGGATAATGAGCTCTTTCAATCTACAATGAGCAGCACTTTGGATTGGAGCGAACAAATCAGTGGCATTTTAGCTTTATTAAAGTCTTAGTAGGAGCTTAGCTGAGTGCTGGAAGGAAAGTCAGTTCAGGTTGAGTGGACCGTTAACCAAGCCTGCATTCCATGCACTGAGCTCTCCAAGGTCCTGATTATTTTTGCTGTCTTTCCTCATCCATTCGCTGTGTTTATTCTCAGCAAAGTTCCTTGAGGTCCTCAGTATACGAGCTAAGCCATTCACAAAGCAAGCGTGGAACATACAATAACTAGGGTTGCAGAAACTCAAACAATAATGAAAATGGGTTACATCGATAGAACTTGCCCTCCCAGAATGTTGTAAATTATTTGTTTACATCTTATGGCATGTTTATACCACACCTGTGATATTATATTACACTTTCCAATAGATAATATTCTACTCTATTCTATTCTATTCTATTCCACTCCACCCTACCCTAGATATATGTTCCATCTATTTTTCAGAAGCTCAAGATTCTTTACATAATCCTATTTTTCATCCTCACAAAAATTATGCGAGGTAGATTGAACTAAGATACATTGATATATGTATATATA